TCTCGCCTAAGAAACTTAGGAATCACTGGAACCTGTAGTTGCTGTTTCAACACTACAGTGGTGTGGTGGAATGGCCATTTTCACTCTGGTCCACATTTCCCCAGTCTGGACTTTCTATCCCTCAATAACTGTAATCTACTTTTATTTAAGCAGACTTCATGACAATGCTCTATGACATTTTAAACACCTAAGTCAACCTTTTTTTATTTTCTGTAGGATGTCTTGATCCTTTGAGATTGGATAGTAAATCTGATAAAAATTTCCTTATATAATTCCCTTCATTCCTTGCTCTTTAGCACTGTCAACTGAGAATCCTCTATTTGGCCCTTATTTATTCAAAGGCCTGGGGCTTTTGGGGTCGTGGCGCTGGGGGAAGCTTCTTTGCCTGCAGCACTCAATTACTGTGACATTCAGAAAGATCTTTTAACACGTTGCCGCATACTTTTAAATTGATGACCACACTTAGAAACACATTTTGCCATCATTTGCAGCAATGCGTTAAAATACAAAGTAATGAAGACACTGGGCCGAAGAGCATTCTGCAGGGCCCAGCTCTGCATGAGGTCAGGGCTTCAAAAGCGCTTTGTGGGCAAATCGGGGAGATGTCTCCATAGTGTTTTCAACTGGGCTCTAACAAGACAGAATTATAGTTTTTATTTTTTGCAAGAATTGCTTCCTATACTTAAAAACACAGTTGGATATGTTTCTATGTCAATCAATCTGCCATGCTAACCCCTTACATCTCAATCACTGATTGTCAATGAAAACTTGTGGTTTACATTTTAAAACTGCGCAAGGTTCCCTTTGAATTCATTCTTTTCCTTTATCATAATACTGCATTACATTTGTTGAAATCTCCAGTGGACATTTCACTTCATATGAACCACTCTCTTATCAAGATAGAATCTCTGTTCACACATACAATGCATCTCTGAGGAAAGCAGAATACAGATGTCAGGAATGCTCAAAATTGGCAGCTCTTAAAACTTGTTTGCCACATGTCAAACACAGGCCTAGACAAGACACTCACTACCATGCAACACGGCTTTTCTCTTTGGTTGGTTTTTTACAGAAACTCTCAAATGAGCAAAGAAACAAATACAGGGCCATTTAGTTATCAAGCATGCTAAATTTTCAGTACAAGTAAAGAGCAATGGCCCATAATGAGGCAGTTACAGGATACCTTTATAATCAAACGCCGGCGGATAACTCGAGTAGTGACTCTCTGTTCCTCCTCTGAGTCTGAATCACTCTCACTGTCTTTAAAATCCTAGTAAATGCATTTTTAGTATAATTTTACCATCACATTTAAAATAAAAACATTCTGAGAAAAGAAATCAGGAAAGAATTACTTTCACTCATGGATGCCCCCCTCTAAGGAAAATCATGATATACATTTGTGAGAACCTTAAAGCAATTAAATTACAAATTATTAGTAATAGTTATCGAGCCTTTTGGCACCAGAAACTCTGCCACCAATTAATTTAAAGAACTATATGCATCTGAGTAGAATGAACAACCTCAGGGGTTGGGCACATTTAACGTAATGTACATAGAAAGGGGCATATACCATTTCTGATTTTTATAACATTTTGATGAGATTTGACAACTTTATCAAAAGCCATTTTCAACTTCAAGAAAGATTTGCAGAAGCATAATTTAGCATTTATATTTACACATATAAGTGGTTTTTACCAACATTAACCGGCACTTAGTAAAATGGATTCAGATGAGCAAAAAAATGCAAAACATAAAGAATGAAATGTCTTTAGAAGAAATGATATGAAATTAGGATAGGGAAAAAAATCATGTAGTAGACAAGAGAATAGTGGTTAAATACACAAATTAGTAAATCAAGCAATAAAGATAGGATTAAAGAAAAACTATCAAAAGGCAAACAGTTCTTAAACTAAGAAGTATTTTGATCATACTTAAATGCCCTGAAGACTATTTATTGATTTAATTTTAATTGTGATACTCTGAAAATATTTCTGGTATTTTCAAGTTTACAGTTACCTCAAATCTAATAGTACTGGAGACAGAAGAAGTGAGCATCTATTGGAAATATGAATGGAAACATAAAAACAGGAAAAGTCAAATTGCTATGGAAAGCATGGTTAGTAGATGAAATGACTTGTAATGTGTTAGTTACATAGGTAACAAATGAGACCATTTTTTTTCATCAAACGTAAATGTTAATATACATTTTTAAATGTTACAGTACCTACCTTGCCTTTGAAAGACAAAATATCTGATCAAAATCCTGCTGTACATAATAATGCCAAAAGGAAATAGTTTTCAACTTCCTTACTTCATAGAAAAAATATTCTCTATTGCAAAATACTGTTATCTTAATTTTTTTTTTTCAGAAAAGGAGAGCAAATTTGGGATGTTTAGAATGATCCAAGTACTGTGAAAGGAGACTCTGCTAGGCTCAAAAAAGCAGAAAAAGGTAAGAGGAAGTCATAATGAAGAGACAAAATAGTTAGGATCAAGCATTCAAAGATTAGTGGGTTTAATGAGACACAGGATAAAAATTCAAAAGTTCTATAAGATTGAGTTATCTGTACAGGAAATATTGAGGAAAGGGTTTCACTGAGGAAAACGCAAAAGCAGATGAAAATATGTTAATACAAACACAACCAAAAGACCAACTTATCAGTCACCACATAAGTTTGCCAAGAGTCATCTGAGATCAGCCCATTATTTAGTGAAAAAATGTCAATTTCCACTTTCTTCTGGGGTTTCTGCTAACCCTGAGGTGAACGGTAGGGAGACAATAAGCAAAGTCCTAGACCGGGGTTTCTTTCTGAGAATTATTTAGGAAGTGGTCAAGGGGAAAACGAAGAGACCAAATTGGAGTCTTCTCTTCACTCCTTGCCATGGGTTGCTGCACGAACGAAGTGGAAAAGAACAGATTTTACCTTGTAGCAGCAGGCAGCCATCCTTGTAAGAGTCGCACCCGGACTTTTCACCTGATTTTTTAGGGGACAAAAAGGGGGCTGTTTTCTGAGATCATACATCAAGTGGCCTAGTTGGTTGCTGCTGTACTACGGTCTGGCCCCAGAAGACACACTTCTGAAACATCTTTGCATTTCTTTTCTTCTAGAAACTTTAACTCTGTACAAAATCTTATGCTCAGGAAGTCTTTCTGCACTAGGAGAGCACCTGTAATGTACCAAACCAAGGATCTTAACAGTTTCCACAGCAGTGACTTCTAAAGAATTTAAAGACTGCAACCCCAAAGACACAGTTCAAATCCACTATGTGCTCTGTGAAAGACGAACTGGCACTCTCTTCCTGTCTGATTCCCTGCCTCTGAAAACCCACTGGTGGGTCGGCTGTGGGTTCCCACTTGAAGGCACACAATAATAACAACAACAATAAACACTTTCTTGTAACATTTATTTCCCATTACTAATAAACTCAGCTGAATGACCATTTAGGGTTAAGACGTTCATTTTCAAACCCTCTGTCCTTTCTCTGTGGTTTTCTAGTGGCCAGTATATATGTATGTATACAGATTATAGTGCTTATTTATATGACATACTTTTAGAACACCTCCACTAATTTTTAAGTAGGCTATTTATATCATTATTGCTTCTCCCTGTATTTTTGTGAGCTCATTTTACCAAAAAAAGCCTTTCACCCAAACTAATATTGCTTAAGTATTCTAAGAGTCAAAGACAGGAAAACCTTTTGGTAATAAAGAAAGTCAAAGAAAAGCCCAAGATGGGCTCAAACAAAAATATTTGAAAGAATAAAAGAACTGACTTAATAAATCATTATAGATGGTGGTAATCATGCTTAAATAATCACCTAATATCTAGTTTATTAATAAAATCTTATATCAACATAATGGGGGCCAATTCCAAGAGGTAAATCAGAGCTTGATTCTCTCTCATTTTACTTCCTTTTTACCAAAAAAGAGCAAATAAAGCCTGCAGAAGGGAAAAGTATGTGATTAATTGACATTTGTTGATAATAGACTCTTAGTGATTACAAATTTTTCTAAACCTCAACTTCATTATAAACTGATATTTTAGAAAAGATTTATTTTCTCTTTGCAAGATACTGTAGTATATTTTAGTGAATCATGTGTATCTGTTATTAAATTAGAAAAGCTTAAGTGATACTGTTCTGAAAGTGTATCATAGTTTATGAAAAGGTGCAAAAAGCAGAAACTCTGTGATACAGACAGCTGATTCTTATTTTCTAATATCCACTTACAAATCATAATTTCAGTCAAAAATATTCAAATATGTAAAAGTTGTAGGCCTCAAATAATACTCTATTAGACTGCAATGCAAACACACTTAAGTTCAAAGAGCAAAACTCTATCACAGCATGGTTTTTAAATGATTGAAAACAATAAGGGTGGGGGAGAAATGTATTGTTAACACAAAGGTGTCACTTCTCTGGCATTTTGTATCTACCAGCTGCTCCAAGGGAGAAAGATGGGCAGGAGATGGACAACCTCTGAAAACTCGCTGGAGGGTCAGCTATGAGTCATTTCTGATTCAACAGTTATATGTGAATGACATAATTTTTTTTTTAAATTGCTGGCAACTGACCTCATTTTAGGCTTAGTGACTTTGTTTCTTCAGCTTTAAAACATCATGCCTTTTCAGACAAAAACCATGGAGTCATATGTTTTACAATTATACTGCAGGACCAGAAGTTCTCTCCTTCTTCCCTAAGAACACTGGGCTGCGAGTCAGGAAACTTGAGTAACAACATTGGCCCTTAAGCTAGCTAGATGAGGAACGCCTAAAGACATGCTTATTCCTTTTTCTTAACTGAGGAAGCAAAGTGTGATCACATGGTACATGTTTTATTTAATACTTCCTTTGCTCCCATCATTAATCTTACAAGTTAACCAATTTATGATTTAGAAATAATGAAGAGCCTTGGGCACATTGCCACAGATTTAGTAAAAAAAGTAAAGTGCCAGTGACTTCAGTTTAAATGAGAAGACAGCAGGTAACCAGACGCCATACCTTTTGTTCAGAGCCACTGGACCCCTCTTCTTCATGGAGGTTGACCCGTGGCTTGCCATCTGCGGGAGAAGTCCTACTCATCTTTTTCATACTGACAGGCACACAAGGTTTAGGCTCTTCATTTACAAGCTTGCTGGTTTCTTCCAGAGATTTCTGATATGCTGCTAGTGGTGATGGGGGCTCCTCAACCCGGCCAGATCCGTGTGGTTTTGGCTTCAGAGTTTCCTTAGCACTCTGTTTTCCAACATCATTCTGTTGTGATTCTGAAAAGTAAGATTTTGTCTTGGCGTCTTGAGTGACTTCTGCATGGCTTCCGTTTGCTTCAAATTTCCCAGGCTCTCCTTTGAGATATGAGGTAATGGAATCCCTACACTGGTCAGGGCTACAAAAGAGAAAATAACACAAATTTACAATGGCAGGAAATGACAAAGTAGGCTTCAGAAACTATTAAGTCCTTGTAAAGGCAAGAGAACAGAAAGGCAGCAAAAATATAGTCAACTTGATTTCAAATTATCATGGTCATGGGGCGAGGAGTTGCTATATAGGCACCCCTCGTACCCCAACTCCAAATCTGGCTAAGATATGCTGCCATCTTATTTTTTTCCAACCAAATTTTTATAGATACTAGGATTCTATATCTTGAGACATTCACAGCATACCTAGAGTTCCACACCTATCAATCTAAAAAGGGAAGATATTTTTAAATGCCCTTATGTTGTTACCAGCGAAAGAAATTATTGTCAGAAGTCTGAATGAATACCTGTCATAAAAATTCTAGCATCCCTAAAACTCCAAATTTAGTTCTTTTATATGTTTTCATTACAAATACTGTCATAAGGCTTTCCCAGTGTCATAATGTCTTACTTTTCCCATCCTTGACTTACGCTGATTTCTTCCCAGGGTAACAAAAGTGTTGCTGTACACCCTTTGTTTCTACTTACTTTGAGGTCGGTCTTCATTTAATTATTAAATAATTTTTCTCTTTAAATACCTTTTTTAAAAATTGACTTATACTTTTCCCAGCATCAACAGAACAATTATTTTTATTCTTTATTGTTGTTGCATTCCATCGAGTTGGCACTGACTCACAACTGACCCTCCAGGGGGTTTTCAGAGGCAGTTAATTGCAAGACTGCCCAACCTTCTCTTAAGGGGCAGCTGGTGGATTTGCACTGCGTGAGTTCGTGATTGCAACACAGCTTCTTACCATTAGGCCACCAGAGCTCCAAGAGCTCATTCTTTAGTTTGTATATTTACTTTATGTTTATGCTTATTAACCTAAAGGTATCTATTTATGTATGTACATACATTCGACCCAAGTTTCTCATTAGGTTTCAAAGAAGTAAAACATACATTAGATGAATATGTGCATAAATAAAAATGTCCTATTACTACAACTATTATTTTGTTCAGTCATTTGGTAAGCATACTGAATTCTTTTGTGATCCCTAAAACCACTTGAAGTATTTTATTACTCCTGTAAATTGGTAAACTCTCGACATTTACCATTTTAATGTGGGGCTTGTAGCATTATATAAAAACACAGGCTATTTTCATGGTAATGTTTTGGATAGAAACAAATTTCTATCATTGTATTATTTTGAGTATATATCAATATATTTCTAATTATTTAAAACAATGTTGATGTAGAAAAAAGAATGGTTAATATGTAAAATGTTAAGCTTCTTTCTGTGTATGACTGAATGTTAGATTACTTCCACCCTATTGCTCTGTATTTTAAAAGACATCTTTTTAAAAAAAATGTACATAGTAGGAGGGAAATACACCAACATTTTTTGATAATTACATCTAGGTTGTGGGGTTGTTCTTTTTTTTTAATCTATCTTCTTAAATGTTTGTCATAAGCATATTTATATTTGTAGCTGTGAAAGATATAAATGCTTATATTTTTAAAAAGACACTTTTATTTATGAAATTATTTTTAATGAATATAGATTACTGGTTTTGTGACAAAACAATAATATAAGTATTAAGCTAGAGAAAAAGTTGCTATTTTGTGCAACTGAGTTGGAACCTACTTGTAGCTGACCCTCCAAGTGAGTTTTCAGAGGCTTTAAATAGTACAGGAGGAGAGTGCCCATATTTCTCCTGCGGAGCAGCTGGTGGATTTGAACCACATGCCATAGAGTTGGCAGTGCAACTTTTAACCACTAGGCTATCAGAGCTCCAAGAAAAGAGTAATGCATTAAATGAAAAGGATGTATATATAGATTTTTGGCTTTTAGTGCTTCCCTCTGCTTTTCCCTTTTCATTTCGAAGTTCATACAGGGAGTACTGGTGGCCTATTGGCAAGAAGCTGCGCTGTAATCCCAAATCCATCAGCTGCTTCCCAAGAGAAGTATTGGCAATCTCCTCCTGAGCAATTAACTGCTCTGAAGAGCCACTGGAGAGTCAGCTATGGGTCAGTTCCCACAAAAACAAGATCTCATATAATTGAAAATTATACTGGAGTGTAATTTTTCCTCTCCAGATTAGAATATAATCAATACACTTTTAAAGCAGGAATCATCCCTAAAGTAGAATGGTTCTCTTAAAAGGAAGAAATGCTTTTAAAGCTATGTACTTAAAATATACTATTAAAATAGAGTCGTACCTGTCGTCCAGTCGGTCTAGTAACCCACCAGAGATTCTTCGAGCTTGAGCCGGGGACTCTAGGCTTCCACTTGATGTCTCATTCTGCCAACCTGTAATTGAAGACATTTCCTGTTCTGCTTGCTGAACACGCTTAAGAATAGCCTGTACTTTTTCTTCGGTCATCTCCTCAGATTCAACTCCTTCTTCAAGGTGAATGTTCTCAAATAGACATTTGAATTTTTCTTCTGTCATCTCCTCATCAGGACCAGATACTGCCTTCTCCTGCTGCTCTGAGATTCCTCCTACTTTTCTAGTCTGTTTCAGTTGCTCTGTCGACTTAACATCTTTCGGGACCCCGGTCAAACTTCCAAGGTATTGAGGATACTCACTGAGACATACATCCTCCAGCTGGCTCTCATCTACTACGTCCACTGCTTCAAGTATTTCTGTTAAAGGCACTGAGTCTTCCAATTTGCTGTCTTCTAAGGAGGTGTCTTCTGCAGTTACAACAGGAGGTCCATCTGCTGAATGCTCTACATTTCCCTGGGAGGGCACTAGACCGTCACTCAGTCTACTAGGGGTCCTAAGGGGTGACTCTAGGCTAGAGAGATCACTAAAATAATCATCTTGCTGGAAAGGGGTGGGTGTTGTGTAGTGTAACCCTGTGGGGGTCTCCAGTTCCACTTGAAGGGGAGGATAACCTATGGAAGACAGTACATTTGGACTAACTGGAATGAAGTAAGAGCACATCAAACAAAACACATGGAATGACTAAATGTATAGTAAGTATGAAAATGCATGACAAGTTACAGATTAATGTTGACAAATTTATTGGTTTAGTTCTTATTAAATGAAATATAAAAATGAAATACAAAAAACCTAGTGCAAACTACAATAAAATACTCATTAGGATAATATCTAGTAAATTTATAATTTTATCATAATGACTTAAATAAACTAATTAAATATAAAATTAGTTTTCATCATATAGGATAACAGTTATTTTATAGCCAAATTTCTTATTTGCCTACTTTTAGCATGCAATATCTATATTGTGGTAGAATGAATATAGTAAACCATAAGAAAACAATTTTTAAAAATAATGACATAACTTACTTCTAAAATTATATGTATTAACAGTTTAACACAATTATAATTCTTTTATCAAATGAAATTTATAGCAAAGAATGATAAACTTAATCTATGGGAGGAAATTATGATAATATTTTAGAGCAGTAGCACTGGAGAGAAAAAAAATGGAAAAAAGATTTTAAGATTTAAAAAGCTGAGACAAAGCAACAGCTGTAAGTTGTCAGATATTGTAGGTGACAGAGATGACAGGTTTAAGGTATATATGATGGTCCTGGTGATCCCGGTGAAAGGCTTTCACTCAGAACCACAAAGCAAATAAAAAGGGAAAGAAAAGGAATGACTGACAAGAGACACAGGAGAACAACCACTGGTACAATGAATACTCATGGGAATGATATGACACATATTTCTTGTTGCCTAAACGGTGGGGAAGGAAGGAGCAGTATCCTTGTTTTAAATATTGCTGCATGGCCTTGGGATATATTTTTGTGCTTCAGCAGAGAGAAAAATCAACAAGGGTCTGGTCATGGTGAGGAAAGGAACTTCCACAAAGCTCGAAGAAGAGGAGAGACCGGGGGAAAAAGTAACGACCAAAATTCCTGGTCTCTAAAATGAATGGCTAAATTTCCATCAGTCAAAGACAAATATCAACCTGGCTTTTGTTGAAGAGGAAAACTATAGGTAAGTAAGCTCCCTCCCCCCCCCCCAATCCAGTTATGGTTCTCTATAAGTCAGTATATGCAAAAGTTGGCAAATACGATCTGAAGTTTATCATCTAAGTAAGTGAACTTTATACAGTTTCTTGAAGTAGTTTTTAAACAAAGAACAGAACATACTAGAGTTGTAAAAAGCATTTATGAATTTATCTTCAGACACTCAAATTTTAGTGTTAAATATAGCTTTCAAGTCCACAGAATACTTCCATTATTTTCCATAGCTTTTACAGCTACTTTTCTTCTTTTTCCCCCTTCTATAATTTATAAACTTGTTATTTGGCTGCAATTCAGAACACAGTATGACACTGGCCTACATTTAGCATAATAAGAGCTTAGATACTATTATATGACCTCATATAACACAAAACCCTGACAAAGCAGTCTTTCCCAAGTGCTCTGGTATTTATAAGTTTAAAAAGAAATGGCTTTTGACATTATTACCCATCATGTGCTTATACTATGTGGAAGCAAGGTATTCTTAAGATTTGTTCACATTTGAAATCTTTGCTATATAGTATAAATAAATATTGTAGGCTATCGTTAGTCTAGTTTTTTGAGTTAAAAATTCACCTTATTTTTAAAAGTTTGAACAGAAAAATATTCCTGTGCCTCTTCCTGCCTTCACACCATCAATACTTTTCCTCAAAATTCATTTTAGGAATTCATTTCTTTTCTTTTCTTAAAAAAAATTAATCCAGGAGCATCACGAAAAACACAATGGCAAATATAAATTATGTTTTTTCTATTACTTTGATGAAAAGCTCCAGTTTACATAGTAAAAGAAAGATAACAGGATTACACAAACTAAGCTAAAATGAGAGAAACCATTAGATTATTAATATAGACCCTCACTGAAATAGAAATTAGACTGCTTTATATACATTAGATCAAGTTGGATTTTTCAAAGAACAAGTGGCAACAAAGTTAAATTATATTAAAGACCAAATGCTCTGATTTGACTGCTTCATTGGACTCTTTTTCGCTCACACTTTAGCTCTTTGTTCCAGAAAAGCAATTTACTATTGTACTTGGACAATTTGTAACTATGTACTTTAACGTGACTCTAAACCTTACTTGGTAAAGGATTAATTTTTTCCCTTTTCCTTTATCTGAATAAGGGATCACTAATTTTCTTTAGCTAAGGTAAAAATTTTAAATGGCAAAATAAGTGCATTCTTGTATGGTCATAAAAACAATTGAAAATGATAATTCTTTCAGGTAACTTAGGACCTTATATGCCATAAGGTGCATTTTCTTTCACAGAGACATTTTCCAGGTAAGCTATTATATATCACTTTTTTTTTTTTTCCAGACAGGCAGAAAAAATGCTGTGAAAAATGAGAAACCAAGTCAAGTGCATCACACTTTTGTTGGACTTAATAATGACAGCCTTCTCCAAATGTTCTTTCTCATTTCATCAAATGGTTAAGTATGAACAGTAAATTCAATTACCATCCACCGGGTCATGGAAAACATTGTTCTCATCTGCAAAACTTCTGGTGCCTGAAATGTTTCCATAATCAAATATTGGGCCTTCTAGTAGAGTCACAATATCTATTCGATTAATTTTTGTCAAGACTGAAGTTAAGGCATCAGCTGAAAACAAGAAGGAAAAAGAAAAAAAAGGTTAAAAGTCTAATTAAATTCTTTCCTTCCAGTAAGCTCACCAAGGCATGATTTCTGTGAACCTCCAGGATAGTTATAGAAAGATTTCAGGCCTTTTGTTCACAGGTTTGTTAGGAGTCATGCTCAACTCGAAGGCAATCAACAACAGCAGATTCCACCTTAGTAATATCACTATCCAGTGTCTGAGATAGCTCTCTGCTGCTCAGAAGGCATGCTTAGTATTAGGAATCATTCTGTAAAGCTGTCTATGCTGGCATCAGTGTGTGATTCATTCCGCTGTAACAGAGCATATAGCCCAAGTCTCTCGTGTCAACTCCAAGTCATGCTGACCCTCCACTGATTTTAAAGCTGGTAATGGGAGTGGACTGCCTCCTTTCTCCCCTTGCCGAGGGGTCAGTAAATGCAAAACACCAACCTTTCAGTTAGAAGCCCAACATGTCACAGGCTGCGCCACCAAGGTTCCTTGTAACAGAGGATGTGGGCCCCCAAAGAATGACATTCTTTTTAGCTACGAGAGGATCTAACAGACTTTTAACTAAGTTCCATGCCTTTTAATACACCAAAATGGATCTCCCTCAGATTTGATGCTTAAGCAATCTAATGACTTACTAGAATTATGCAGCCAATCCTACAGTCACTTTTTCCACTTGTGGTGGGTAGGCATGTGTGGGCTGGCACTGCATTCTAAACATAACAAAACTAAACCCGACCAAATAATATTAAAGAATTTCCACCACCACAGCCCAAGCTGGATGAGTTTGTTGCCTAATTTCATCCTGTCCTTCTCAAGTCACCTCCCTGCCAGTCTACCTATGGCCATACTGTAGTTTCAGAGCATTTTTTTAAAATAACCAACAGCTTGTTATTTTAGTTTTGATGGCCACTGAACTAGGCCAAACTATAGAATATATCTACTACTTGCTTACCAAAAAGCTTCTGAAAGGCAAAAGTTTAGAATATTAGCACTAAAAGAAATAAACGTACTTTCAAAGGCTTGTCACTACTTTACAACAATCTAATTTCCTATAATTAAAAGTTACAGATAATTTAAAAGAATATAACAGTAGGCTTATCTATAATATTGGAAATACACAGTTTCAAAAGTTAAAGTAATATAATCTCAGCATACTTGTAGCATTTTTTCCATCTCTGGTGACCCATTTTTTCAATAACATGAAGCTTTGAGAAATTAAAGAATTAGGATTTTCCACACGTATTTGATTGATCTCATCCACTGAAAAATTCAATTCCCTGGCCAGTTCTGTGAAAAACAAAAAAGAATTACTATAATTTCATGTTCTGTTTGCCATATTCATTTCTTAAAAGTAATGCTCAAGTGTCACATTCATACAAAGAAAAGTGATAGCCAAATCTCAGTACAGCCTTGGATTTTTATAACCTTCATTTCACTGGGAAGTAGTGATCATACTCAAGTGGTGACGTAAACGTCTTGTAAGCATTAAAGGGGATGCTTCGCTCTTTTAATTCAGCCACATTCTTTTTTGTAGCTTGAGCAAACTACATAAAGATAGATATACAAGTATAGTTTATAAATTTGAACTTAAAGATAAAAGGTTTACCCAATCAATTTGCATCTGTCTTTTAATCACAGTGTATACTTACTGGCTTTTTGTACAATCATTCATATACATTCTGTTTCATTTATATCCACTGTTTTACATAACTACTGCTGAATTTACATTATATATTGCTCTGTGTACTTTTGAGTTCCAAGTATGATAATCACATACATTATGTTGTCATTTTTAAAAAATGAGGGATACCTATCTCCATAAATCTACCCATATATTCATAGCTTGCAGACCTTTATTTGGAATGATACATATATGTACTGACAGCTGTCTGAGAAAGTGAAAAGATGGGAAGAATTAGTTTTAAAATTTTGTTAAAAAATATTAGAAATAATAAATGGAAAAATAATGGGTCGTGATTCTATTCCCAGTAATTTGAAAAAAGTGAGTTGGTTGCACTAATAGGATCATGAAAATCCTTCTTTAACCAGGAAATTAACTTTTAGGAATTTATCCTGATTATATGGGTTGCAAAGAATGATTTAGATGCACAAATATTCACTGTAGTCTTGTACTAAAGTTGAAAACAATTCAAATGTTGAACAAAACAATAGTTCATTAATGCAAGGCAGTGTGATGCGTAAATCTTTTTTGATTATGACCTATTATTTAGAAATACATTGTATATCACAGTGATTATATAATTTCAATCAGATTTTTATCAGGCAAAGTTTAGGCTTCATGTAATTCAGACATTTTCTACTCTATTTCATTTAAAACCACAAACTCATGGGTTGATTTCATCATGAGTACATTGTGACCCACACCATTATAACATAAGGCAATTGGCTGTTATAATCTATTAAACACCAAATAGCAGAATACTTAATATTACA